TAAGAGGGTGGCTTGACCTCCTTTTCTAGCTTGTTACAACGCTGTGCACTTGTAAATAATCATTCAAGCATCGGAATGCACTTACTGATAAGTTGGAGGATTTCAGTGACGGCATATGCATCATTCATTCATTAAAAAATTACCTCCCAATTTATTCCCTCTTTCCATTTGCAATTGCGTGCAAGGATGAATATCTACATCCCCACACATAGAAGTCGAGTGGTAAATTGTGGACTGCCTTTACATCTGATTCAATCCTTGTCTGTTTTAGCATCTACAAATTGATTGGGAGTCAGGCACCAATCTACTCCATCTTAGTGTAGCATAAGTATTCAAGCAATCAAATGTGATGGACCAGCTCTCCCAGCCAATTATTATGGCTCACTATGTAATTTGATCTCTGATTTTGAAATAGGAGCGCCTTTTTGGTACTTTATCGCCGTACACGGAAGTAGCAACCAACTAGCGTACTTACCCTTCAGTTCTCTACCTCTCCACAACCCCAGTTGCCCAGAGATCTACCAAACTTCCCCCTAGAATATCCAACTGCCTACCTACTTCGTCTACCTTCTAACACTCACCATAATCCGAGTTCTTTAGCCGACCACCTAGTTTTGTAGCTCAACCTTTCCACCCAACTTATTCTAGCATTATCTAGCTCCCTACCTTGCATTATCAACAGGTCTCCAGTTTCCTAAAAAATACCCAACCTGATTTCGCGTTGGCCATCTCTCTTCCAATCCGTTTGCCCACCAGTCAAGCCCACCTCTTTCCTACATCTCCAGTGCCCTGTCTCTCCACAGCGCTAAATCGCTGCCTGTCTCCCTCCATTTATCCCCTTTATCCAATCCACCACCACTCAAAAGCCCCACTTGTCTACCCACCTGCCTCAATTACTTTACAATTATCTACTTACCTCCAACCTACGTTAGTCCCAATCTACTTCCTCACCGACGTAACAAAAAACCAAGCAGGAAAGTTTATCCATTGGAAATAATTTTATTGTTCCATTATCATGCAAGTGCAATGAATAAAGGCACTACGCTTTCGAAACAGCACGCAATCTGCAATGGACTTCACAGGCCATTTCCTCCAATTACTAACAGGCAAGGTGGCCAAGCTGCCAAGTTCATCATCATGCTGCCAATGTCAGGTTCCCCATTCTCCTCTTCTCCTCCACCAAATCCTTAATTCAAACAGTGAACAACTATGTTCACACGAGAAAACGCCTACTGAGGATCATTCAGTAGTGTCACTATTCTACAGCAAAATTGCATGAAATACTAAGCTCGCTCTGCCATTAGCCGGAAGGCAATCCACTTGGAGTTGTTTGGTCAAGACACTACACTTCGTTAGACCTTGGACCTAATTCAAATACTAAGGTCTTTTTTGACAGCCAATGCCATCCTCGTCAACAACACGCACGACATCACATGGAGCAGCAGACGTGCATTATATAGGGGCACCGAAACAGCACGTCGACTCACGCAATGACTGTGAGGTGAATCTCCCAACAAGCGGGTACCCACCACGGTGTCTGCCAATTTATTTGGGGTGTAGGTGACCCAGATTAATGTGACAATCTCCAAGCAATAATTTTGGTAGTGATTGAGTGATTCAGTGAGGCGGCAGGATAGGTAACATGCTGTGCGGCATTTTGCCACCTCGAACAATTCAAAGGCGATTAAAATTAATTGAACTTACCCCATGAGACAAGAACGATGCGCCCAAAATTTCACTTAATTTGACTTAATCAGTCTATTGTTATATGTCGGCGACGACGGCCATTAGGGGCATGGTCTTACGTGAGAATCGCCTTACACCTCCATTGAAGCGAACCATCAGCCAAGATGGAGTGCTCATTAATGATAGTACTGAATAGTGGATTGTGTGGAGAAGACGATGATGTCTGCATTTGCCCATCATTACTTCAACAATGCAGATGTGTTTGAAGACATCTGTGTGGCTAAATTTGTATGGTAGTCTCAAAACTTCAACTGGATATCGCTTTAAGACCAATTCAATGCATCACAATATGCAGATATTTACAACCGCGACTTTCAAAAGTAATCTAATAATTTAATCGCAAACCCGGTTTCAACTGATTTGACACACACACTCGACACATAGTAAATACAATAATGAAAAATTTAGAAAAAGATCCTGCGACAACACTTTTAGTAGGCAGAAAATAAGTATTCAGTGATTGCAACAAAAAATACACATTGCCAATCACTAGTTTGTGGTATCCTTTCCCTTCCACAATAGTCTCATTACAATTTACTACCTTGACCTCACATAGCATTACAAATGCCGCGTATTTAAGATAGCTCCGACTTTGCCTCAACTTTATGCGGTTCCAGTCGCCTAGATGTGTTGCCGGTGCACAGTTAAAAGCATCATTTTGAATCTAAAATAATGTCCTTTTTTGCATTTTAGAGCACAATGATAGTGATGAAAGCGGCGTGGTATTCAGAGGCAGTAAAACTGAAGACAAATCGCCATTTGCATATGCCCTGCACTTTGAGGGCAATGTAAATTAGTTACAAAGGCGTTCTAGCAAATAGACTGCCAATTCGTCAGTGTCAATAATTCCTTACCATTCTACTGCAATTTGCTATTAATCTTTGTATGCATGTTTGCTTTTACATTCCCCCAATCAACTTTTCTAAGTAGGCTCCTTGTCGACGTCATTGCGAATCCTTTGCACGCACGCGCTGCATTGCAGCTTCAACGAGCAACTCATCACTCATCCACTCTTGTCACCATCCCATCGGATGGATGA